GACATATGACTAAACGAGTATAACAGAGCCAAGACTCAGGGATAACAGAATACAGAATAAACGACTAAACATAGACAAGTCTGTTACCAGTAATACCAAGAAAAATGTCGATGCACTCACAGACTAGTAAATACCATGACAAGGGCTTTGCTTAGGACTTTGTGGCCTCTGAGTAGGTTGTGTCACTTTCTGCGCCCAAAATAGACACAACCAAGGTTGTCTGGTCAAAGAGTTTCGGGGGAGCCTCCACAAGACACGTGTCTCAGCTAGGAAAAAGGGAGGAGCTTCTGTCCGGCATGTGGATCGATGTATCGGGGTAGAGAGCCCAGGACTGTCTGGGAATGTCCAGAGCTCAGAGGAGGTATGACACTAATATAAGCAGGGTGGTGTGTATATTTGGCTTATGCAGCCAATATAGCTGTGCAAGGACTATTTTTTGGAAGTGATTCCATGTTCTTGTGCAAAATTGTAAAACGCCCTGTATGATATAACTTTGCAAATAACTGACATTTGGAACGCAGGCCTAGGTCATCTAGCCCCAGGCAAAAAAATGCAGATTCAACATTAAAAATCATTGTTATAGAATTATGGTTGTAGAGTCTAATAGAGGCTAGAATAGCAAGTCTGCAGGATAAAACTCAGAAAAACATGGTTAGGAAAATTGAGATTACAGGATGTAAGTGTAACATTTGGGTAAAGCATCTCAAGAACTAAGCATTAACACTGGGGTACCAATTCAAGAATTATAGCTAATAAAAAACAATGTTTAAGAAACAATTAGCAAACTGAAGTAGTAGACATCATTTCAGGGATAAATAAATGAGTCAGTGTGAGCCTAGGACCATGAAATAAACCAAATGATGCTGAATCTATGCAAGAGGAATGGGCTGACTGATAATGAGAGATAATTGGAGTAAATAAACCAGTTGTCTTCTGACTCCATGTACTACAATCACCTATTCCAAGCCTCCTCCGGGGGTTCCACTTTGGTCTCTGTAAATTTCACCACTTGTCACTCTTCCTGAAGAACCATTTATGATCAATTTACAAGTCTGGATGCAGAGCAGTCTTTGTCCTGTTTAAATATATTTTTGATGCTCTCCATACAGAACTTCATCTTGTGGTTTTCCACTTATAACTGAGCAGATCTGGATATGGCAACTCAAATGTTAGGTCTCTAGATTGCAGCAGCGCAAGCTCTTACCATCCAGACTCATTGCTATAGCATTGCTTCCTCTTCTCCCTCCTCATCATAATTGCTCTTAAATACTATATAACTCTGAGAAGAACTGTGGACAAGAATCCTGGTGACAAAAATAAAACATTGGGACGATATAAGTCAGAGTGTTTAATAAAGGAATTGCTCTAAAAAGTTCTTGTAACATAACAGTATTTATGTAATTTAAAGATTAAGGATCATGTTTTTGTTATAATATGAAGAAAATATAATAATAAACATTAAATCTATACATTGTGTTCCTTATTTTATGTGTACCATGAGGCCCCTTGCTTGTTTAAAGAAAACAGCTGAGACATTTTCTTCCATCACGATCTTCTATCATGGTCTTCCAGTGATATGTAAGAAAAGAAAGAAAATGACTCTCCAATTCATGTATGCTCTAATTACAATCTGGCACATTGAATATTGTATTTAACTTAGCAAAATACACTGAACAAAACGCTCATATTCTATGGCATCTGGCACTTTGGAGAGGTGTTCTCTTCACCTAAGGCACACCCGTGCAATATTCATGCTGTCTAATTAGCATCTTGATATTTCACACCTGTGAGGTGGATGGATTAGCTCGGCAAAGGAGAAGTGCTCCCTAACACAGATTTAGACAGATTTGTGAACGATATTTGAGAGAAATAGGCCTTTTGTGTACATAGAAAAAGTCTTAGATCTTTGAGTTCAGCTCATGAAAAATGGGGGTAAAAACAAGTGTTACGTTGCTTAGTTCTTTTTCAACTTCATGCTTCCTAGAATATGCATGCTTAAACATATGTGCACAATTCAACCTCGTTATTAGGCATGTGCATGGGGAAAATTTTCGGTTCGGTTCGGCATTCCAAAATTCAGGATTTTCGAAAGTCGGGACTTTGGCAATTCGGCACTTCAGCACTTCGACACTTCAGCACTTCGGCACTTCGACACTTCGGAAATTCGTCAACTTCGGCACTTCGACACTTCGGAACTTCGGAATTTCGGAACTTCGGCATTTCGGGACTTCGGCACTTCGGGACTTCGGCACTTCGGGACTTCTATTGCAGCCGCTTAGTAAATAACTCCCTAATTCCCACGGTATTAGGGAGTTATCTACCAAAAGGCTGAAAGACCTAAATTGGTCTTTCAGCCAAATTTACTAATACTAAGTAAAAATTACTTAGTATTAGTAAATTTTGCCCCTACTCGCTACACCGCGAGTAGGGGCATGTCTAGTAAACAGTGAGCAGCCTGTGGCTGCTCACTGTTTTAAAAAAAAAAAAATAGGGTCCCCCCTCCCGAGCCCCCACCCGTGACGCGGACCTATTGCCCCCCCCGCCCCCCTGAGCAGTGGGTGGATGCCCTAAATAATGCCCTCCCCCCTTGCCCCCACCCCTGAGCGGTGGATGGGGGCCCTAAATACCAATTGGGGGGACCTATTGTCCTCCCCCCTGGCCCCCACCCCTGAGCGGCGGGTGGGGGCCCTAAAAAAAAATGTTCCCCCAGGTGACTAGGGGTCCCCAAACGTGCAAGTCACCCCCTCCCCCCCAAAAAAAAATTATCCCCCTAAAAATAATGAGGGGGGACCTTTAACTAAGTACCTGTAAAAAAAAATAAAACTTACCATTCGATGTTTACTTTCTTCTGAAATCTTATTTCTTCAGCTACAAAAAAGGCCAAATAAAAAACCATAATAACCAACGCAATTTAAAAAAAAAAAAAAAAACGATGGCAAACACAAATAATCCATCTTCACCTGGCGAGGGCTCCGCGCAGACTGAGCTCTGCAGGGCGGGGGAAGGCTTATAAAGCCTTGCCCCACCCTGCAATTAGGCTCAGTGCACTCTGATTGGTGGGTTTAAGCCATCCAGTCAGAGTGCTGAGACAGGTAAATGAAGGGACTGACAGGTAAGTCTCTACAGTTACCCGTCACAGCACTCTGATTGGTTGGTTTGAAATCCACCAATCAGAGTGCTCTGTGTCATTTTACACAGCGTGGGAAAGTTCTTTGGAATTTTCCCACGCTGTGTAATTTGACTCATAACTCTCTGATTGGTTACTTAATTCACTTAATAGGTTTTTTTTTGTTCAGTAATTTCGGAACTTCGTGACCTCAGCAAGTCGGCACTTCTGCAATTCGGACATTCGGAAGTACCTGGATGTCCGAATTGCCTGAAATTCGTCCGAATTCATATTCGGACCGAAACGAATTGCACATGTCTACTCGTTATCTATATGTGCAGATGGCTGTGGATACCTCACATAATGTAATGCTTAATTCCTGTATATACAGTGCTGTCATGTAATATCCATGTGTTCTTATCTTCTGCCCAGGAAAGTAAAAGTTAACAAAATTACAAAAACTCAAATGAAAAAAATAAGGCAGTACTGAAGTAGTACACTGTGCTATATTTAAAAGACAAAATCATTTTGTGAGCAATATAATGTACGCAGTTACTTTTCAATGTCATTCTAACTATAAGACTTTTGGTATTACACCAGAATAAATTTTTAGGACAACTAGAGAATTCACCAGATGTAAAAATAAAAATATATAGAATACTATTGCATGGCCAAGCTCATCATATTTTATGAATGCCTTTGGTAGACCTATAAAACAGTTGTTTTCATATAAATTTGAAAGATATGAAACCACACAGGGGCACTTGGAGATGTAGATCGGCTTCTGGAAAATTGTTCAGTATGATTTATCGACGTCTTCCTAAAGCAAATATAGAAAACAATAAAGCAAAGATACTTAAAACTGATTTGATGTTTACATTCACAGTGTTTTTATTCTTGATAATTGTTTCTTTATCCACACTGTAAGTTGACTTTAAAAGGACATATTCTCTTGCAAAAACACGGTCGTAAGTTCAAAAGTTCTAGAACATATTTTCTTCATAATAAAGTTACGAATATGATATAAATTGACATCTGCTTCTAACAGTTAACCACACTTGATTAATATATTGACTGAAACATCACATCAATATGATTATTTGTTCCACACGTCTAAAGTTCATGACACCTCAATATGGTTTATCATATTTAGTGAAATAAAGCCACAATCCACGTAGAGAAGATGACACCTCCCTTGTATGTTAGTTCCAATTAATAAACATCATCTTGTTGTCATTAAAAAAGCCTTAGCGCACAGCAAAACATATGGTCTACACATACGAACCCCAGACACAGGACAAATTGAAAGGAAACGAAGAGGAGGAGCTGATCCTTTAACCTCAGTCTGTTGGAACTATTAGCAGTTATGTCAGACGTTCTTTAAAGGGACACTATAGTCACCAGGACAACTACAGTGAGTAGAATAATTTCCTTCAGGCTTTTTGCTGTAAGCACTGTCTTTTCAGAGAAAATGCAGTGTTTACATTACAGCCGAGGGATAACTTCACTGGCCACTCCCCAGATGGCTGTTAGAGATCCTTCCCGGGTCATGGCTGCCTAAAATGCATCACAACATTCAGTGTCTCCACCCTCCATCCTCATAGAGATGCATTTATTCAATTTATCTCTATGAGGAGATGCTGATTGGCCAAGGCTGTGTTTGAATTGTGCTGGCTCTGCCCTGATCTGTCTCCTTCACAGTCTTAGCCAATCCTATGGGGAAGCATTGTGATTGGCTCAGGCCATGATGTCAGCAGACAGGGGCAGGTCAGAGCCAGGGCTAGCAGCTCCAGACTTGAATACAAGTAAGATGTTACTATATTTGGGAGGCAAGAGGGGCCAGGCTGGGCTAGATGGTGGTTTTAACACTATAGGGTCATGAATACATGTTTGTGTTCCTGACCCAATAGTGTTCCTTTAATTCTTATTATCTCACTTTTTAATGACCAACATATTGCACTGTGCTTCTTAATGCGCAAACAAAGCATACAAGTAATTAATTCCAAACAAATGTAGACACACTGGAGCATGGAATCAAAATTACAATGTGCAGATGAGCTTACAGTGAAAAGGAAGTGGGTTATATTTAAACTTATAATACAGCACGATGTTTGCAAAAGGCAACATGTCCCTTTGTGTATTGTACTAATTAATGTTACTTTCAATGGAATCTTAATAATTTACATTTGGTAGTGGGGTACATTAATACTCACACAGTCCATGGTAGCTGCCAAGATAAAGGAAAAAGATAAGAAAAACAAACAAACTGTGCAATATTAAAACCCAAAAGTGGAACATTCTTGTGATGGTGGAACACTAAAACAAGGTTACCTTACCCCTTAAGGGACACAGTAGGCTCCCAGACCACTTCAGCTCATTTAAGTGGTCTGGGTGCAATGACCCTTTTACACTTAGTGTTCGCCTGCTAATATAGGATTATCCAGTCAGCAATCAAACAGTGCAACATTTTAGTACCACTTGCTCGTGCTAACCTGCAGCAACTGACTTTTCCGTAGCCTATAAAGAAAAGCTCTTAAAATATGCAGATTTGTTTGAGAATTCTAATTTGAAATATAAAGTAGCCAGAATATTTTTGTTGGATGGGGGTTTCTGTTCTAGAAGAGCAGTTTTAACGTCACTGCCTTTGAACCGGAAAACCCAGGTTTGAAACCTGGTCAGACAAGAAGCCTAACAATATATTACTGTTTTCTTAATAGATTGTAAGTTCATCATTTGAGCAGGGCCTTCTCCAGCTCTTCGCCTTTCTATAACAAAAGGTAAAGCTCTGCGGAATATGTTGGCCCTATGTAAATGGATGATTAGATAACATTTTTTTAATATAACTAAATAATTTTCAATTCCAATGCTATATTTACTAGATATTGTTGCAATTTCAGAAATATATTTGATATCAAAATTTTGAATCAAACCATATGTGGAGAAAAGTGCCTGGGGCATCATGGCATCTCCAGTATCCACTGAGAGGGATCAAACCTCGATAGAACTTGTGGGGTTTTATCCTACAAAGACAGGACTTTATAGGCAGACCTCTACGTTATGCTCGCCAAGCAACAATGGTGCACTAAATTACACTTTTATTTTCACTGGGGTTCTAAAAATGTGGTATTCCGAGACATCTCTAAGTGGCTAAAAAATTATGGGGTTCGGAGCTATTTTTATTATTTACTTTTACTGTTCTTATGAAATGTGCTCATAGTACAGTGGAATTGATTCAGTAAACAGCATATATCACAGGTTAGAAGGTATGAAAAATATTTAGCTACATGTCTGCTTCTTGCTCTCTAGCTATCTAGCCAACAGAGCTACATGTGAATACATGTATGACCATGTCTGGTTCATGGGTGGATACATGTATTATATGCAGAAGTACCGGTACCCCATTTCTTATATAAGTGTTTTTGTCTCAGTGTAGAAAATATTAGATAAAAGAGCAAGAACTAGGATCACGATTAATAGGAGATGTGGGTGATACTTGTTAAATTCTATTTATTTACCATATTTTCGCAACCATTTGAATTTTGCTTAAAGGACCACTATAGTTCCAGGAAAACATACTCGTTTTCCTGGCACTATAGTGCTCTGAGGGTGCCCCCACCCTCAGGGTCCCCCTCCCGCCCGGCTCTGGAAAGGGGAAAGGGGTTAAACTTACCTTTTTCCAGCGCTGGGTGGGAAGCTCTCCTCCTCCGATCCTCCTTCTCTCCTCCCCGTCGGCTGAATTCGCACGCGCGGCAAGAGCTGCGCGCGCATTCAGCCGGTCACATAGGAAAGCATTCATAATGCTTTCCTATGGACGCTGGCGTGCTCTCACTGTGAAAATCACAGTGAGAAGCACGCAAGCGCCTCTAGTAGCTGTCAATGAGACAGCCACTAGAGGATTAGGGGGAAGGCTTAACCCATTCATAAACATAGCGGTTTCTCTGAAACTGCTATGTTTATGAAAAAATGGGTTAACCCTAGCTGGACCTGGCACCCAGACCACTTCATTAAGCTGAAGTGGTCTGGGTGCCTAGAGTGGTCCTTTAATAACAATGTTTAATCTACAAAATGGAGACCAACATAGACCTTCAGGTTTGCCTCAGAATGTACAAATTTAAGTACAACTCGGTTTTTGATAAATTCCTGATTGTTACATTTATATATGAAATTTTAACATTTTATTAGTAGGCACCGAAGGACAATGAGTGATTGAACGGTTGAATATTCAGGCCTTAGTGACTAGCCTACATGAAAGAAAAACAAATTATATAATTATTATTTATTTAAAAAGGGCCTATAACATGAATGAAGGCAGATTGTCGGTAACGTAATTAACTCTATCGGGGTTATTCACTAAATGTTGAATTTGGGGAATTAAATGTGAAACCCAAGTTAAAGACTAGGTTACCAAAACTGGAAAAGTTCTCCAAGTCTGCTACGTTCCCAGTCTACTTTGACCTAAAATTGAAAATTCCTTTTAGAATCGAGACACAGCACATATTTCTGATATTTTTCTGATACTTCAATAAACAGTGAATTTAATAGAATGTTAATTGTTGCGGAACAGACCTCGCCACGTGTTCTTGGAGGGGGCTGCTTGCCCGCCTCCGACCTTCTGACTATGGCCCTGTGATGTATGGAATTTGAAAACACTATTTGTGCCCTGTGACAAAACTGGAGATTGTGCACAAATATGACTATTGTCCATATTTTTTATGATTACCTTTGTTTGTTGCACTGTTCCCCATGTGTTTCATCTGTTGGTTCGGCTGGATAGACTACCAGACAAACTGTGGAGTTACTGGGTGGCCACCATTTCATGTATCAGAGGCACATGGTGAGAACAATGGATGAAGCACATGGTGAGAACAATGGATGGCGGCCATTTTAACTCACAGACACTGTTTGGACTTTTCTACACGGTGCCATCTCGCCGGTATTTGGTGCACATAGACATCGTTCAGTAGTTTTAAACTACAGAACAGGGGACACATTTAACAGTAATTATTTTTCATCTAGCCTGTATATGTTTTCTGCGGACTCTGCATTAAACCGTAGTTTCCAAATTACTGAACGAATCTGGGTGAATCTTGGGTATGTGGTTCACCCAGATCCCCCGGTTCTGAGGATATATGGTGTTATTGCATGTTTTGGGGTCCCTGTGATATGTTTTATAATACTGTATTTTCCTGCCTGTGATAATTAAGTTAGTCTATTGTGTTGAGATAATTGTATCACAGGCAGAGGGGAGGATTTCTGATGTAATGAATGGGAGTGTTAGCTGTGTTGTAATGTGTTGATTGGTTGTTCTTCAAAACCCTGTGGGCAGTACTATGTTTGTAGAATGTGAAAAAAAGAGGCTGTATGTGCCAGTACAGTCAGTTCTACTTCACCCTCAATTTGGAGTGCTATCTCTTATTGGGGGAATCTGCTACAAGGGATTGCTATGCTTGTCATACTCCCTTGCTAAATCACTACTAAGCTCTTGTAAGAGCTTGTTCCTGCCTTGCTCTCTGTAGGAGTCTATGGTAGTTATGGTGTCTGCTGGAGTGCTTAGAGCCCTCAGGAAGCGCTAGGAGCATCCTTCAACGGAAGTACCCAATCGGGGTGCCAGGTGATCCGTTACATTAATGTACGCCAGCTATTTCAACACGTGTTTGATTTTGCTTGTCACCTAACTTTTGAGAAAAGCAAAACAGCTACGGGCCTAAAATTATCAGTAAAAGTGAAATCACATAATTATGCTAATATTTTTATTTTGTCGATTTAAAGAATCATTTCAAAAGATGTTCTGTTTTGGAAACAGATTGAAAGTTCCCCGCGGCTTCTGTTTTACAAAGAATTCTTCAGGTTCTGACATCTTTATTATTGCATACAGAAAGATTAAAGAAGTGATTTATCAAATATTGGCAGCTGCTTTTGAATGTTACCATAACTTATCTTAAGTACCCCTGATGGTGTATGACTAAGTCTAACCTTTAAAGGTACGCCCTAAAGATGAATTTTTGTATTCACTCTGTTCCTAAGTCTAGGACACCCAGTTTTGGAATCCCTGGGTGATGGCCGCACTCATTCTTGTGTCACATTAATATTGCTGCCAAATACATCAAGGGGATAATATGCTAATGTTCGAGGACTATGACATCTACCAATGACAGTAATGCTTGGATTGCAGTCCTAGGCAGCTGATAAAATATTATATACAGTGTCTTTTTAAATACACGCCCTTGGGGTCTCCATTCGAGCACTAAATATGCCGTGAAATGAAAGGAATTTCTTTGCCATCTTTCATCACATACTATAAATATATTTCACCAAGATATTAATAAAAAAATATATATTCGTAGGAATTTTCACCCTAAAGGTTATTCCAAGCATGTTTTAAATTGCTCAGCTTTTCTTAAAATGCAAAGGTTGCCTTTAGAAAAAAAAACAAAAAAACACAGCGTGATGGAAATTCAAATTCCAACTCCGTGATTGCGGATCCTTGCATGTCATTGGGATAATTTCCAGGATGGCATAAAAATCTTATTTTACAGTGAAAATTAAAGCAGCTACCCCATAAAGCTGCAGATTACAATTCTTGGCCAGCCATAAAAAAAATTTATGTTGATTTTTTTTTATTTCATCTGAATCATCAAGTTTGTTATATGTTTTATTTATTATGCATACTAACAACAGTTTTTATTGGCATTCATTACTTGTGAGAACTAATATTAATATTCTGCAATCAACTAGCTGGCACCAGCATTCAACCACGCTTCTGTCACAGTAACCTATTATCATCCCGTGCCTATTTAACCATTAACCCTGGACCATGAAAGGGTTACTGTAACCCTGTTATTTAATCATATTCAACAGGAAGGTTAAAACCAAATGTCATACATTGCTTCCTGGTAATCCTGCTAACCAATGAGGTGCAATGCAGAACAGAACATAGCTATTCAATTTACAATGGCCACTTGAACCAAAATAGTGGTTTGGGGTTTTGAGTCAGTGACCTAATACATGGAGTCCAGCAGCTGCCTCATGGTTCACAAGCTAGATGAGCCTATCACAAGACCTCAAGCTAAGGGAATCTCTGATCAAGTAGTGCACCATGGTCCTTTAAC